ATGGATGAAGACTGTATGGCAGTTTTTATCCTAAACTAGTAACAGTCAGACACTTTTCCAGTTTTTAAGGCCTGTCTTATTACCTAAAATTCTCTGAAAATAGTTTAAATCCATGGAGGAGCAGATATAGTTCATCATTGCATTCAACCAATAAATTTTGTTTATATTTGTTCTTATTCTTCCCCATCAAAGGAAAAAAAATCTAATTTGTCATGCTAACTTTTAGCCAAATGACATTTACCCATTATTTCTTATCTTCAGGCTGAACTAATCTCCTTTTTCTTAACTTTTGTTCTCTACCTTAAATAGGGCAATTGCATTTATTTGAGAGTTCTCTAAACCTCATTTTTTAATTCAAAAATTTTAGTGAGAAACAGTATTCTTAGTCATTAAATCTTACTCAATGACTATTTTCCCCACATTTCTTCTTTGCCAAGTTTTACATTAAACACTTTAATATTTTTTTTCATTCCTCTGTGAGGCAGGTAAATTTGCTCATGCTTTACAGATGAAGAGTTGACTTTAAAGTTTCAGGAATTATGTCCAAGTTTATATAGATTGAAATGGTAGAAATAAGTTTCAAATTAAGATTTTCTGATTCATATGTCAGGAGTTATATGATAAACAAAAATATTTAGAGCATTAAAATTACTTTTTTTGTATATCTGACCAATACTCACAATTGTAATATCATTATTTGATTTTTATTTATTTATTTTTTAAAAGATTGATTGATTGATTGATTGATTGATTTATACATACATACATAGAAGCACTGGGTACAGTCAGAAGTGCGGGAGGGTGAGAGAATTCACCAGAGCCAGAGCAGGGAGCAGAGCAGGCAGAAGGACCGAAGTACACTGCTGAGGGGAGCAGCGGGCGGCAGGAGAGGTCTGCGCACCATGTGGGACCCTCCTCCAGTGGCCAGGGAGCAGCCCAGGATCGAACTGGCACTGCAGAGGCTGTGGGCAGCTTCGCAACCCAGCGCTCAACTGCTGTGCCACCGGGGAGGCCCAATTATTTGATTTTTAATAATGGCACCAGATGGCTGTTTCAGCTAAGGACTGGAAAAAAAAGCTTACCCAAAGAACAAAGGTCACTTTTTTTAATGGTTCCACATCTGATGATTTTATGGCCTAGTATTATTCATAGAATTAATGGCTTAATTACCATCTCTTCATTTCAAACACATATTTTTGGATTAATTATCTATGGCTATATAACAAATTATCCCAAAACTTAGTTAAAATAACATTTATTACCTCATAGTTTCTGTGGGTGCCAATGGTTCAGTCTCTTGTGAAGTTGCACTTAGGCTTTAAAGCTGGGCTGTAGTCTCATCTGGAGTATTGGCTGTAAGAGATTTGCTCCTATGTTCACTCATGTGGTTGCTGATAAAATTTAAGTTCTCATGTGTTGTTTGACTGAGACCCACAGTTCCTACTTGGTGAGATATATCAATTCCCCTATAAGAAAGCTTGTACCGTGGTAGTTGGCTTCCATCAAAGCAAATGAGAGAGCTAAAGCAGGCAAGTCAGATGGAAGTCATAGTCTTATGGAAACGTAATCATAGAAGTCACATCTCATCATTTTACTATATTATGTTCTTTGGAAGTTAGTCACTGAGTCTATCCCACAACCAAGGTGAGGGGATTACTTTGCGAATACTGTAAGGAGAGTGTTATTAAGGGCAATTTTAGCAATTGCCTACCACAAATATTAACTAATCCTTTTATATGTGAAAGGATAGTTTTTTTCTGTATTTCTGAGATAATTGATCCACTTGCTCAACAATATTCAAAACAAACAAAAAAAAATAGTTCTATCATGAAGCTTGTGAAGCCGTTAGGCAACTTGCTGCTCTGGGGCATAGAACTGGGTTGCTGAATCCAAATTTGAGGGGGTTGAGGGCAAGGGAAGTTTTCTTAGTCCTAGTGCATCGAAAGTGAGTTTTGATGGAAAAATAGGTATTAGCCAATGAAGAAGGAATTGAGGAACAGGGGAAAAAAGGACGTCCCAAGCAAGAGAAATGTATGCATACATAGGACTGGAGATGAGAAAAGACATACCTTGCTCAGGGGAATATATCCATAATCAATTGTGATATAAACATCTACACCTACCATCTTTTCAGATTATTACAGTTTGTGGTTCTTTTTTTTAAACACAAATCCTTGATTTTGCTAAGAATTTTTTGCTCTTTTTTTAAAAAAAGATTATGCATACAAGAACTGGGGTACAGGTCAGAGGTATGGGAGGTGAGAGGATTCACCAGAGACAGTGGGGAAAAGAACAGGCCGATTGACTGAAATACACTGCTGAGGGGAGCAGCGGGTGAGCCAGGAGAGGTCTGCTGCGCATGTAGCTCCCTACCCAGGGATCGAACTTGTGTTGCAGTGGCTGCAGATAGCTTTATAGATTGCATCTTAACCCCTTGCGCCACCAGGGAGGACTTGTGGTTCTTCATAATGAAGTAGTTTTTCAATGAGAATACTGTTAAATTTAAATTTATTATTTGTAGCCTATCAAAGCTGTTTTGTAATTTTGCCCTGCAATATATATTGTCCTTAGGAATTCTGTATTTTTCCTGTCCGCATGCACAAATTAAACTGCCTTCATTCTTAATTTTGCTTCTGCTCAGGTGAGTTCCTAAGGTTGAGCCTATAAAATACTTGGGTTAGAGCAGATTTTACTGTTATGAGTTAATTTGACTCATTTGATTAGCCAACCTAATAATTAAACTGAAAGTTAAAATATCTCCTCTTCCTGACACACATAAAAGAAATAATAATAGGAAATAAATTAGATTACATTGACCCTCTTAATTCCTTTAGGCATTGATGGTCAATATTAGCTTAGGTCATGTGATTAATATCAAATCACCTGATAAGCAAAATCATATTTTCTTTGTAGTTAGTATTTTAGAGGGATCTACTATTTAATTTCCAGGTGCATAGAATAAACTGAAACATTATTTTCTAGAAAGATTTTAGAATATATGAATACATACAATCTCAGAATAGGGACTTGATTATTATTAGGAAGTATGTACACAATAAATTGATTTTTGACTCTGGCTTTTATAATTTTGCTTATTAAAACTTTGAATATTAATATGAATAAATAAAATAGAATATATATTATATCTATATCTATAACTACATCTATACACACAGTCCCAATAGTCATCAACCCATTACCAATCTTACCCCACCCATACTCTCAAATACCCCTTTCCGTATGATTTTTTTGTTTTTTTTAAATATTTTTAGCTTTATTTTTATTTATTTAAAAGAAATGGGGTATAGGTCAGAGGTGCACGGTGTGAGAGGATTCACCAGAGTCAGAGTGGGGAGCAGAACTGGCAGATCTACTGGATAACACTGCTGAGGGGAGCAGCAGGTGGGTCAGAGAGGTCTGCTGCACCATGTGGGTCAGCTCCCTGCCTGGTAATGGTACTCGTGCTGCAATGGCTGGCAATAGTTTGATAGAGCTGACTTTAACCCCTGCACCACCAGGGAGGCCCTCGTGTTATTTTTGAAGTTTAATCCAGACATTATATCATTTCATCTAGGGATATTTTAGTCTATTTCTCTAAATAAAGAAACAGTTATTTGAAAAAACAAAACCACAGTACAAATCCCCCCCCAAATAAAGCCCCCAAATCCCTAGCATCATTAACTAATTAGCACTCTGTTCTTATTTTTGCTTTCTTTTTATAGTGAGATAGATAAATATATAGATAATCAGTGCTTTTTAATTGGCAGTGCTTTCAGCTCCCAGGAGATATTTGTCAATGTTAGGCAACATTTTTTTTTTTTTTTGGCTATAACTGGGGGTTACTACTGGCTTCCAGTGGGATCTAGAAATCAGGGATACTACTAAACACACAGAATAGCCTTCCCACCCCCATAATAAAATACCAAAGTGCCACTGTGAAAGAACTTAAACATTCACACACATACACATAAATAGAGATACATGAATAGCAGTTACAATGGGAAAAAGTTTATAAATAAGAGAGATACAAAATATTCATGCTCTAGAGATCATTTCAGTAACCACACAAAAGACAAAACAATTTATGATTGAAAAAGTGATGCAGAATATGTAATTATTCCAATCAAAATGTCGCATAAATCAGATGGAATTCCAGGATTTTTTTAAGGATAGAGATCAATGGCCTAATATCAAGTAATGGAACATCTGTTCCAGCCGTGGATAAAGAAGTTCAGAAAAGTACAATGTTTCTTACACAACAGAATCAAAGAAGTAATGAACAAAATATTTAGTAAATGCAGGGTAGAAACTATGCTCTGCAGCAAATGAAATACCTCGTAAAAATTATTTTCAATGTGCTAAATAGTGATCTGTCAGAAAAGACTTTCTTTTATGTAAAATGATGCAATGAATGTTAATGCTTGTGACATATTTTAAAGATGAAAATTGATATTAGTTACTTTAATGCAGACAGAGCTATGCTCATTATTCTCATCACAGAACCCCTGGCAATAATTTACCTAGCAGCTCAGCAGTTCAGGCAGATCAAAGTTGCATTATTTAAGTGTATCCAGGGGGCAGATTTTAGCTCCATGCCTTGTACTTTAAAGAAAGAAAATATTGGTTTGCTCCTTAAGAAACAAAGCATGTAACTAACTAGGGGTTTCCTGCAAATCCTACATTATTTAAACTTATGTGAACTCCTCTTATTATCTGGGAAGACCTCCTTCTTCCCACCTTAAATACTCTAAAATCTGACGAGAGTACAACAGTCAGAATGCAAATCAAATGAACAGCAGTGTATTTTCATTTAAATTAAACCCGAATGTGGACTAGATTCAGGAAATGAAGTGGCAGAGAGAGTGTGTAGTTGCTATAGAATGTGCCTGGCTGCTGCAGCTCAGAGACAACTGATGAAGTCCAACTCTGAAATTTCAGGCAATTTGTATACCAAGCTCCTCCTTTTCTGTAGTCTTCTCTTCCATTGGTAAAATTCTTTTGCAGGGTCATGTAGGGATCCCACCCCTTCTCTGTGTTTTCACTCTGCAGCTCTACACAACTTTACACCTGAATGAACGCCAAACCTCTGTGGATATATAAAGGGAACCTTGAGGAAGAATTTCACAGTTACAGTGCAGAAGCAGAGGGAAAGGAATTAACCAGCTCTCCAGCCAAGCAAATCCTCTATTCACCATGCTTCCTCCTGCCATTCATTTCTATCTCATTCCCCTTGCATGCATTCTAATGAAAAGCTGTTTGGCTTTTAAAAATGATGCCACAGAAATCCTTTATTCACATGTGGTTAAACCTGTTCCAGCACACCCCAGCAGCAACAGCACGATGAATCAAGCCAGAAATGGAGGCAGGCATTTCAGTAACACTGGACTGGATCGGAACAGTAAGTGTGCTTTACTTGTACGACTTTGTTTTTTCTCTTTTGGTAGCATTAGCTCACATTCCTGTAGAATTGTTTCGTTACTAACTAACCTGAACCATATATATTTTGCTAAACAATCTGGAAGTAATCTGCTGCATGTGTACATTGGCATTCTTCCCTGTAAAGTTAACATAACTGAAACAATGATTTGATAAGCAGGCACAGACTTAAGTTTTATCAAACATCTACAAAGAGAATGTTTTCAGGAGTTAAACAGTTGCTTCTTTAAAATCATAGAAAATGACAATTTTTTAAAAAAGTGTTGTCCTAGATAGTTTAAGTTCAAGATATGAATTTCTGGGAAAGTATTAAAGATAACTAGACAAATTATGTGTAGGAAATCACAAGGGGAAAAAAATATTCCTGGAGAAAAAAACATTGCTTATACAGATTTCTAAAATATATCTAGTGAAATTTTGGTGATCATCATGGTGAAAAAACAGGGATGTAGCTAAAATTGCTAGAGTTCGTATTGTTTTTGAAATAATTCTTTATTAACCAGATAAAAATTTAGGTAGTAATTGTATATTTCCATGAATGACTAGGGAAACTTCAGAGATTTAAAATAATAACACTAGAGGAATGTTTGTGTAGGGAGCACTTTTTTCCTTTTCTGTCTGATTGTGACACACTAATTGGCCACTCAGAGGGATACAAATTTCTTCTAACATTTGCTTCACTCCTTTCCTTTAGAACAGTTCACATGCTATAATCAGGTTCTAAGAGAGACAGAGAAAAGCAGTGCCCAGGAAATCTTACACAAATCTTTTGCCCCTCCTCCTAAACTCCACTCAACTAGGAAAAGTAGTTTTGACCTATGAAAAGTCAAAGCAAATATGACTATTGATGTCTTTCTAAGAAAATCAAGGGGTTTTAACTTTCGTGAAGATGGTTGCTTTTAAGCACGCAGGAAATATCTGATGACGATTAGATTACTGAGCAATGTGGTAGGTATTCATTGTCAATGAACTGTCACTGCAAAAATGCCGAATCTTGAATCTCCATACACACAGGAACAAAAAGCTAGACAAGTCAAAATCATCCGGCTGTTTCCAGGTGCATTCCTAAGGCAGCTGCAGGAAGGTGAGCTGGAATCAGAATCAGACAAGCAGAGCATACTCTGGCCAACCTGAGCTCCCTTTAGTTTAAATCTCACCCTCTACATCTGTACAGCGATGTATATGTGTAGGTATATACACATTTCCCACAACTAATGCATTCCTTTGGACTGTATTTCTTACCTCAGAAACAGTGGAACACAGAAATGAAAACTCCTAATTCAGTTTTAACTGCAAGTTAGCTTTCAGTAGTCTATGCAGACCATGTCAATGTCCCTCATAACTTTTATTTTTAAATTTTCATCACTCTATACTTTTGAACATTTTCCCCTAATTAACAAGCCTTAATTTCTGCTTAAGCTTGTTACAGGCAGTTCTCCTCAAGTTCAGATAACAAAGCAATGAAAGGGAAAACTCAAATATGTCAAGATTAATTTTTGCTTTAATTACACATGGCATGTAACAAGAAACAGCCAATTAGAGAACATACTTATTAAAGTCAAATAACAAGAATTTGCCACAAACAATATTCAGGAAACTAACAGTGTTGGATTATTATTATTTTTTTTTTGCAGTTATAAATCAGACATGTTAGGCATGTTTCTGCCATAAAATTCATGGAAATGTAGCCAAGTTGTTATGGCAACCATACGTTCCTGATTTAGGGGCTTTTATATTCTTTAAATTTTGAGTTGCAGTGATATTTTAGATTTCAAACATTTTAATATTTCTGCTTTTAAAAGATAGCTTGGGAATTTAAGTTTAAAATGTAGTTATTAAGTTTGATATGCAAAGTCTGATTATATATCAGACTTTGTACATATATGTGTGTGTGTATATATATATATATATATATATATATATATATATGATTCTCTGTAGCTCAATCCTATAATTGAAACAAAACATTACAGGGTACATATGCATTATACACAATATTAAATTCTTTCCACATATTCTCAATAGATTTTTTAGACCTAATTAAAAGCACTTGCAGACATTAACTAATGAACATTAAAGTACACTCTCTTTAGCTCACTAAAGAATGAATATTTTCAGATAAATGTAAGAGCTGCTTAACCCTTACTGGGAAGTGAGGCTAAGAAAATGGAATTTTCAAATACTACAGTAAGCAGTTACTTAACGTAATACGTGAAAAAAAAAACAGACTAGTTTTTTTTTTTTTTCCCAAAAAAAGTTATAGCCATGTAAACTGGCAATTTTCATGAAAATATCTCTGCAACTATCCAGTCAGATTTTTGCATTGTCAAAATAAAATATGTATTTACTTTCTATTGTCGATTTGTTGTCATTTGGATATTAATTTTGGTGATCACTGCAGATTACTTTTTAAAAAGCGTTTTGCCTCTGATGTACATTCTTTTCCCTGTTGTGCAGCTCGGGTTCAAGTGGGTTGTCGGGAACTGCGTTCCACCAAATACATCTCAGATGGCCAATGCACCAGCATCAGCCCCCTGAAGGAGCTGGTGTGTGCTGGTGAGTGCTTGCCCCTGCCGGTGCTCCCCAACTGGATCGGAGGAGGCTATGGAACAAAGTACTGGAGCAGGAGGAGCTCCCAGGAGTGGAGGTGTGTCAATGACAAAACTCGGACCCAGAGAATCCAGCTGCAGTGTCAAGATGGAAGCACGCGCACCTACAAGATCACGGTGGTCACTGCCTGCAAGTGCAAGAGGTACACTCGGCAGCACAATGAGTCCAGTCACAACTTTGAGAGCATGTCGCCTGCCAAGCCAGCCCAGCATCACAGAGAACGGAAAAGAGCCAGCAAATCCAGCAAGCACAGCATGAGTTAGAACTCAGACTCTCAGAACTGGACTCACTAGTAACCATCTGCTTTACAGATTTGATTGCTTGGAGGACTTAAGCCTGCCATTGCTATTTTCTCACTTGAAAATATATGCTTTCTGCTTTGATCAAACCCAGCAAGCTGTACTAAGTATCAGGACCTTCTTGGAAATAGTTTTCCTTTTCAATTTTTTCAAGATGTATACATATCCATGAGTGCAATTTGCATTTAAATTCCATGAATCCTGTAGCTTTATTTCCCTGTGGCTCTTAAAAGATTGGTGATACTATATACATCACTAAATCATGTTTCAAAAGAGAAAAAGGCTTCTCGGTTACCTGCCACTCCCCAGCCCACCCCCCAAACAAAACTTTTTCAAAAAGAATTTTTTTTTTAAGTTGTTGCCTTGAACAGTAAACACTTCAGTAAACACTTGTGAGGGTGGGAGGGTGGAAATCTTCATGGGGACAGTTTATCAGTCATAAGTAGTCTCCCTTTGAAAGAATGAAAGACCTCATGACATTTAACTTCAAAAAAAGTCCTGTAGTTTTTTTTACAGTCTCACCACATGAAATTATACCCTGCATGCTGACCCTCGCTTGGAATGGAATGCCAGAAATGCATGGCAGCAGCTAATAAGTAAAGCTGATTAACTATTTATTTGTCAATGTTATTATTTAATGAGCTTTCACATGTGATTTTTTTCAAAATGTTAATTTTTTATGTTTTGAAGCTTTTTCATGTATCTAAATATTTTCCCTTGTGAATTGTGGTTGATCTAGAAATATGAGAATACTTGTAGATATGTAAAATAAATATTTTAGTCTCCTTATTACATATATGTTTCACCATGAACTTTGCCAATAGTCTGGATCTTTTTAAATCAATGAGATGCTTTGTAAAGCTGAAGTATGTAATACTTTCTTGTTAAATCTGTGCAATCAGAAGGTGACTTGACCTTCAGTTCCATTGGTTTCTTTTAACAAAAATAAACACTGCAAAAAGTGGTTGTCTTTGCCTCTAACACATATAAAAAGGTACATATTTACAAAAATTACAGAATAAATATAACAGAGTAGTTGCTTTTTTTTTTTAATAAGGCACATTCAATTTTTGATAGCAATCTCTTTAGTAAGAGAGGAGAGAGAAAGGGAAACCATCTTTTCAGTAAATGGGAGTGGTGAAAGTTTGGATGGCAATCCAGCTTTGAGTGGTTTTGAGAATATCAGATTTATACACCTGTGGATGCCAAGTTGGTTGCACATTATTGTCACCTGGGGAAGATATTATAAGCCCCAGTGCCCAGACTGCCATCCCAGTTACATCAGAATTTCTGGAGTGGAACTCAAATATCAGCTGTTTTTAAAGTTTTCCAGGTGATTTCAAAGTGCAGCTAAGTTGGAAAAGGAAATTGTGAAGAAATAACTGACATGTTAAGAAGGAACTTGAATACAATTTCATGATCCCGGAGCCAAAAAAATAAAACAGGATAAAAACAAAATCTAATAGAAAACAAAAGCTAATTATCCAGTTTTCAATTCTGACATATTATGATAAGCAGCATTATCATATTCTTGAACCTGATTATAAAGTTAAATGATTGATGAGTCAATTCAATCAAATGGTTGATCCTATTACTCCAAAAGAAAATAAAAGGTGGCTTGGTTATGTAGTGAGAGAGTTTTCTTGGTTTTCCCTTTTTGGATCCTGAGCATGGAGGAGTCCTTAGAACTTTTTTTGGTAGTAGATTGTTCTTTTAGTAATTACATATGTAAGCATCATATGCATGTTATATACATGACACTAAACTAAAAAAAGATCCTTCCAGCCCTGTGAGAGGTTAGAGTCTCAACATATACAAAGACAAGAAAACATCTCTAGGTTTTATAATAATGCTACCGATTATATCATGAAATAATAATAGTCTTAATAACCAAGATCTTTTAAACCATTTCATATTATATCATCATATTACTACTTGGGAAATTCATAATAAGTATATCATAGGTGGAATATACCAAAACTTTATTGTTTGATGTGTCTATTTTACTTGTCTAGCCTCAATATGGGATATTTAACATAATATCGAAAGCTTAAGACACTGTAGTCATTTCTTCCTTTTCAAAAAGGTAGCACCTTCTGCAGAAGGTCTCAAAAATTAGTGTGTACTAAGCTCTCAGATGTAAAAAGGGCTTGCTCTAACAATGATTTTCCATAATAAAGAAGACATGTTGCTGTCTTTTACCAATAAAACAACGCAAAGGTCTTGATAATAATAAAATGTTAAAAATGACACATTTCAGTTTGATTTGGCAACTATTGCCAATAGTTGATAAGAAAAATGAAATCAACTATAAGAAGTTTTTAAAAAACACTTTTCTAGTCTCTGCTAAGTCAAAATTGGATCCTTTTCTCACAATGACATTCAAATTACTGATCGATTTCAGGCCATGTTACGTTGGTGATGCGTTTATTGCATGGTATTTAGGGCCTCCCCGGTGGCGCAGCGGTTGAGCGCTGGGTTGCGAAGCTGCCCGCGGCCTCTGCGGCACCGGTTCGATCCCCGGCTGCTCCCCGGCCACCGGAGGAGGGTCCCACATGGCGCGCAGACCTCTCCTGCCGCCCGCTGCTCCCCTCAGCAGTGTACTTCAGTCCTTCTGCCTGCTCTGCTCCCCGCTCTGGCTCTGGTGAATTCCCTCACCCTCCCGCGCTTCTGACTGTACCCAGTGCATGTATAAACAAAACAAACAAACAAATAAATAAATAAAACATGCCTTTATTAAAAAAAAAATTTAAAAAAAAATAAAATAAAATGCTAAAAAGGGGGCCTCCCTGGTGGCGCAGCGGTTGAGCGCTGGGCTACGAAGCCGCCCGCAGCCTCTGCAGCGCCAGTTCGATCCCTGGCCACTGGTGAGGGCCCCACATGGTGCACAGACCTCTCCAGCCTCGCCCACTGCTCCCCTCAGCAGTGTACTTCGTCAGTCTGCCTGGTCTGTTCCCCGCTCTGGCTCTGGTGAATTCTCTCACCCTCCCGCACTTCTGACTGTACCCAGTGCTTGTATAAATAAATAAATAAACCTTAAAATAAAATAAAATAAAATAAAATGCTAGAAAGGGCCTCCCTGGTGGCGCAAGGGGTAAATTACAACACTGTGAAGCTATCTGTAGACTCTGCAGCACGAGTTTGATCTCTGGCCAGGGAGCTACCCACATGGTGCAGCAGACCTTTCTTGTTTCTTCTGCTACTCCTCTCAGCAGTGTATTTCAGTCAGTCTGCCTGTTCTGTTCCCCACTCTGTGTCTGGTGAATCCTCTCACCCTCCCCGGACACCTCTGGCCTGTACCCCAGCTCTTGTATGAATAAATAAATAAATCTTCAAAATAAAATGCTATAAAAGCTCTTGTATCTAAATTGCTGACAATATTTCAGATGATTTTTTTTCATTTAAGTTACATCTTCCAATTTGATTAAATGCTGCATAAATATATTTTTGTATCATTTCAAAATAGTGAATTGTGATCATTTTAGCAGTATCTGACCTCTGGTTTATATTCATAATATCTCTCCATAAAGAATCACTTATCACATTTATTTTGGTTACTATGGATAAAGGACTTTTCCAAGTGGCTTGATAGAAATGTGTATATCAACAACTATATTAATAGGCATGTATTCATAAATCGCAAGAATGAAAGAAATATTAATAGCATATATACAAATAAATAATACATATTATGCTAGACCTAAGCTAAATAAAAGTTAAATGGAGCCTTTAGAAATATCTATTTGCAAAAAAATTAAGACCTTAATTAAAAATCTTTGTATTTATTCAATTATGCTAGCTACAAATAACCAGTAGTTGGCAATGCAGTGTCATGTTATTTTACTGTATATTTTTTAAAAATCAATGAAATCTAGGTTTTTCTATAAAAAAGACTAAATATTTATCCCTCCTGATTCTACATCAAATTAGTAAAGTTTTACCAAGAGTTCTTGCTTATTCACCCTATGTGCTACCAGAATAAATGACCTATCTATTTGGCATGATATTTACTTTGATACTGAGTGGAATATTTATACTAAGCAATTGTGAGTGGAAAGAATAATATCAGCAGCTGCAAAACCAGGAAATTTACAAATCACTGAATAAAATCAAAGCCTTAGCTTAAATTTAGTATGTTGCAATATATTTTTATTAACAATTACCAAGAAATTTAAGGTATCAGCATCTAATTCACTATATTTGGAATAAAGGCTTTTAGATTGAAATCTTGAAAATATTTTTTAGTTCTAAAGTACCAATTTACAGCCTAGCCCATATCAACATTTACATACTTCTTATAGTCATACAGTCATAATAAAAAATGAAATGCATAGCAAACCTTTGATGGAATTCTTGTGGAAACCTAGATGGAGTTCAACAGGATAATAACTTAGGATCCCCGGTCCTGGAGAGTAGCTTTTTCTTGTTGCACTGTTTCTCTCCCTCAAGGGCAGATAGAGATGACTTCAATTTGATTTCATTGGAACCTATTACAGTAGAACTTTATGTTGAATTGAAATGAATCTAGATTTGTGAACTAAGTAGATTAAGTTTGAACACTAGAAATCTTTATTACATATATAATGAGAGACCAGCTAGAATTAATATCCTAAAAGACATCCTCCTTGTCTGTGATTTTTTGATTCCTCATTTTGTCCATGATTCCTTACTTGATAGCAAATGCTGCATTGGATGTATTTGCCTCCATAATATAAAAATTGTCTCAAAGAACCAAAGGGCAAAGACTACCGCAGAAACCCCAGTTGGAAAATGTTTCAACTTCTAGTTTCAAGAACTGATTAAAATGAATTAATGCCAAGCTGACTGCATAATTATTTCCAGTGCAAATTAGACTGAGTGATAGTTTATGATCTGCATTAGCAAACCTGCTAAAGGATTTATTTCCTGTTACAAATGAAGAGCTAAAGAGTTGGAGTGGTTTATGAAGGAACTTGAATATTTTCCATTGAATTTTAGTAAGTGCAAAACTGAAAAGGTTACCTTGTATTATTGATTTTATTTGAAACAGTGGGATTGGGTGCTTGAATCTGAGACAAAATGTCTAAATTGAATGATATCATTAGTGATGCAGATATTCAAAGTTTATTGTCATTAAAAATGCTCAAGATTATGATTTAAGGCTAACTTACTATTAAAATATAAGTACCATTTTTCAATACTATTTCCAAAATAGTACCATTTTTTGGAAATTTATTTTGTTAAATTCACACAAATTTAAAAATCTTTTATGTTACAATATAGTTGAATTTCACTACAATTTTTGTTAAATAGCTGATAATTTTTACTAACCAGTGCATTAGATATGTTTGTTTGCCTTGATTTCTCTCTTAGTTTTTTTTTTTTTAAGATTTATTTGTATTTCTTTATGCATACAAGAACTGGGGTGTAGGCCAGATGTGGGGGTTGTAGACTTGAGAGGATTCACTAGAGATAGAGAGGGGAGTAGAAAGACAGGCAGACCTAATGAAATAAACTGCTGAGGGGAGGAGCAGGTGAGGCAGGAGAGTTCTGCTGCACCATGTGGGTTAGCTCCCTGAATGGAACTCATGCTGCAGTGGCTGGGGTAGCTTGAGAGCACTGACTTTAACCCCTGGGCCACCAGGGAGGCCCAATTTCTCTCTTAATTCTTATCTGTGGTTTATGTGTGATAAATATTGTTTAATATTTAATAATAAATAAATTTTTTTTACTTCCTCAGAGAGTTAAAGGAACAAAACAAAACTCTTGTTAGCTACAAATTTCTTTATTGCAAATCAAAATCTAAAATTGTCAAATGAACTTTGTAACTTAATGAAGGGTTGCCATCTTGCCTGTTTGTCGACCCTCTCGCTCCTAAGAGTAGAGTATTTTACATTTAATCTGTGTCTTAGTTTGACATTTTAAAAACTGATAAACAATAAAGTTTTTAATTTGAACTTGGAAATAGAAGACCAGAGCTGGGA